ATATAAAAATAAAAGAATATAAATAATTGAAGATAAATATATAATTAACCGTTAATATACCCCCTGTGCTTCCTGAAAGATTGAAAAATTCTTTTCTTTTTTTTTTATTCGCGGATAAAATTATTAAAAAAAAAAAAACTGTATTAAATCGTTTTTTATTCGTAGGGTACCTAGAGTATTCGTAGCCGAGGATATTTACAATCATTTGTACACGGCAACAACAGCTGAAACGAATAATCTACCACAAGGACTTAACGTTTTTAGCATATCTACTGCTTGGATCAGTTACGATAGATTACCATTGGTCACGGTTATTCGCGATTACGAAAGTGGGGAAATTATTCTTAGCCAGGTGAGTAACAAATACTCTCTCTCTCTCTCTCTCTCTCACACACACTCTTTGGTTTCAACGAAACAATATTTTTCTTCATTCTCATTCTCATTCTTATTCTCATTCTCATTCTCATGGGTAAGAGACACACACACACACACACACAGACAGACAGACAGAGTTTAACACACACATATTTAAATAAATCATCTATCACATGTTCTTTCATGATCAATCATTAATTTACTCATCATTTGATTTTTTTTCAAAATTTACGGTCTCACTAAAATATGACAGAAAATCATTTGTTCTTTTCATTGTTTGTTCATTCGTTTGTTTGTTTGTTTGTTTGTTCACTCAATTTATTAACAATTCGTAGTCGTTAAAAAATACTTTTTTACTACTTTTTTTTTTATTTTATCTAGTTCGTTTGTTACTTCACTTAATTTATCAGCGATTTGTATAGTCACTGAAACAAAAAAAATAACAATCGTTTGTTTCTTTTTATTTATTTTGTTTCGTTTGTTTCGTCATTGTAAATACATAAAATATTATAAACTTGCATATAACTTTACGTATTTTACTTTTATTTCGTTTTAACAATTCAATAAAATATATATATAAATTGGATAAAATTAAAAGAAAAAAAAAAAGAAAAGAATTTGAGAAAATGCATTCTTTTAATAATAAATTGCTCGATTTCACGGATGTGTTGTATAAAAAATTAAAATCAACATTAGTCTACCAAGAACACGGAAAAAAAAGAAAATAATCCTATAATCACTAACACGTGCATACAAAACTAAAACGAAATTTAAATTATTAGTAAATAAATTAAAAAAATCTACTACTACTACTACTATTACGAAAAAATCATCGATGATCGATTCGCTATGTGAAAAAAAAAAAAAAACGAATAAATAAATACAACGTTATGCAACGTTAAGAATTAAATCAATTACATAAAACAATTCGTATATTTTTCAAGTCATAAATATTGCATCGATTAAGATGCCATTCAGAAAATAACTATTAAATTATAAATAAGTGATAAAATATCTAATGAGGATTAAAGGAGGTGGGGCGGGGTAGGGGGGGGTGGAACAAAGACCATTAGATTAATCAATACATAAATAGGAAAAAAAATATTTCAATAAATTTTAACGAAATGTGGTACAGGTAAAGGGTGGACGTTGTTTAAATGAAGTTGAAACCTCCAACAGGATTTGGTATTAATAATAATAATAATAATAATAATAATAATAATAATAATCATGGAGGTAATCATTTACAAAAATATAATATAAAATTTTCAATGATAAAATTTGTTCACAGGGAACTTGGACATTAAAAGAAGTAGAACTTTAGATTGATTGAGTTGGACGTTTCGTCCCTTTATTGGGACTTCTTCAGCAACTGGAAAATTTATTTTTAAATTTATTTTCATGAAAAATGTAAGAAAATAAATTTTCCAGTTGCTGAAGATATAACGTGTTAGTGATTATAGGATTATTATTTGTTTTTTCTGTGTTCTTGGTAGACTAATGTTGATTCTAATTTTTTATACAACACATCCGTGAAATCGAGTAATTTATTATTAAAAGAATGCATTTTCTCAAATTCTTTTCTTTTTTTTCTTTTTTTTTTTTATTCTTTTAATTTTATCCAATTTATATATATTTTATTTAATTGTTAAAACGAAACGTCCAACTCAATCAATCTAAAGTTCTACTTCTTTTAATGTCCAAGTTGCCTGTGAAAAAATTTTATCATTAAAAATTGTAATTTTGGACAAGAGAAATACTAAATAAATAATATAAAATATATATAAATATATAAATAATATATTAAATAGAAAAATATGCATTGTTGCGTTTCACGTAAAACATTTGAAGTTCAAAAATGTGAGGTTATGTTTCAACGCGATAGTATAAAAGTATCAAAAGATAGAGAAGCGAGTGAACGAAGAAGAATTTACTTATGTAATTTTTATCCTCCAATCAATTAAATACGTAATGAACCTCTCCCCACCCCTCCACCCACCCCCCTCCACCCTACGGAGAAGGGAACTGCATGTTGCGTTGTTACCGGAAAAGAAAAAAAAAAAACTACGATTATGAGCATGAACATTAAAACAGTAGTAATCGTTTAATCGACCCATACAAACAAACAAACACGCACACACACGAAAACACATCTCCCAACTTCGTATCTCTATCTTTTTGTGCGAAAAAAAAAGAAGAAAATGAAATAAAAAATCTTATAGGAATACTCAAGACGCGTAATACCAACTTGCATGAATTGGCATAAATACATTGCATATCTTTTTCTATGGTTATTCACATAGAACGCGAATAATAGAAACATTGAATTAATAATTATTAAAATTACGCACGCGTAACGAAGTAGTTAATTGTTTTTTTTTCTTTTTGTTTTAAATTAGATAATTTATCTATGTGCATAAATTGTAAAAAAAAAAAAAAGAAAATTATAGTTACATGTGTTTACAGAAAGTTTACATGAGAGAACCACCACCACCATCCAATAACAAAGCACCTGCTCAATGGGACATACCGATTATTATATTATCAGAAACCGAATTGGATCATTGTGTGAATTCTTTTGAAACTAAACCTTACGTATGGTTGACCAAAGGAAACGAATTGAAAAATACTACTGTCAAGGATATCGCCACTAGAGATTATTTTATTATAGTTAATCCCGAAGAAATAGGTAAGCGTTATAATTTATTAAACAAACAAAATTCTTTATTTATTTCTTAATGTAATATATATATAAGACTAAAACTCTTATTATTAAGTGAGGATAACCAACAAACTAAAATTTGTTTTTCTGAAAACCAAAATTCAAATTGCTATT